TTTCTCTGTTTCATTTTAAATTCACTTAATCCATCACAGATTGTAACATTTGTAAACGACCATAAAAATAAACGACTGGAAATATAAAAAGAATTTTTAAAAAAATGTGCTCGGAGGCTTAACCAGAGACCTCTACTCAACCACCACCAAAGAACCAGTTTCAATCCCTTTTAACAAAACAATGTTGCTCACCAAGGTTAACTGAAGTCCAAGAACTAATCAAATAATGTCCAAAAGAAACGCTAAAACAGAACAATTTTAATCACAGATAAGCAGTCCCATGGAGGGAAGCTTAGGTTGGCCAACTAAGGAAAAGGGGCTGAGCTGACCTTACAGTTAGGCACTCATTAGTTTTTGTTTCCCTTCAGAAAATTTGTTTCCTTAAAACAAACAAACAAACAAAAAAAACGCTGCCTGTTAACTAAACTGTAAATTAATATGCTGTGCTTAGCATAACCTAGAATGGAAACTACTATTTAACCAAAATCCCTTAAGTGGGAAAATGAGGTCCAAAGTGCAAACACTGATTCTTTTCTCAATAAACACAATGTATTGAGGATTTTGGATAGCCTATATAAAAAGAAAATAGGTTAAAAAGGAGGAAAAATGGAAACACAATCTTTAAACTTGAAGCCTTACACAAATCTTCACACAGGTCACAAACTGCTTTGTGGGATCATATGGTGTCAAGCAAACCCAGGCCTCCTGCACACAACGCATTATTTCATCCCCTTGAGCTACTGCTTCAGCTCCCATTTTTATTATTTTATTTGTTAAACTTGGGGAAGGGGAGATTGCTCACACTGATATTTATTTTATCAGTATCACTAAACTGAGAAGAGAACTTCCTTTGGAAATATGGTATAATTGTTCCCACGTCAAAAATTCTTTTCAGTAACTTTTTTACCTTATAAAATGTCTTGATCAACTCTACTTATCTCATGAAGAAAGAAACACTGGATTCTATGAGCAACTTGCCATTAAATTATGAGGGCAGAAAGACCCTTAACTGTATCAGTGACGTTATACTTCTGTCATGACTCACTTCTTGTGATATTCTGGCTAAGGAAGTATCTGATTATGAGAAAACATCAGATGTGAAGTAATGCAGCTTGAGTATTTCCCACTGGAATAAAAACTGCATTTTGAACAAGAGTCAAAAACATTAGACAGGTAAGACTGAAGAACTATTCTAGACTCTGTGACTGAATACAATGGCAACCATGCATAATGGGGCTTCGCAAATGGGATCTTGGACCATAAAAGTAAAAAGACAGTGTTAGGACAGTTTGTGAAACAGTCATTTGATGAAATTTGACTGAGGTCTATGGTTTGGTGTACAGCATTGGTTCCCTGATTGGGAATTTTTATGGTGATCATAGAAGAGAGTACCCTTGTTTTATATTATCTTCAGCTTTACTTAACTAAAATCTCAGTGTCAATGTCTACACTATTATGATACTTCACCCAATATCAACACTGGCTTGGAAAAAACTAGGATTTGTTAATGAACTTTTTAAAGAGATATTTTTATATAACTGTAAGACTCAATACCACTTACAACTTCCTATTACGCTTGTGATACAATACGCACTACATCAAGTTATTCCATCAGGCTCTTTAAGATTCAGTGACTTTGGGGCTGGAGCCAAAGTACAGCGGGTGGGGAGTTTGCCCTGCATGCGGTCAACCCAGGTTCGATTCCCAGCATCTCATATAGTTCCCTGAGCACCTCCAGGAGTAATTCCTGAGTGCAGAGCCAGGAGTAACCCCTGTGCATCACCAGGTGTGATCCAAAAAGAAAAAGAAAAAAAGATTCAGTGACTTTCATCACAAAGCAGAGAAGAAATTGTATACAAAAAGAAAAATTTTAGAATATAAAATTACATTTGGGGCTGGAGTGATAGTAGAGCGGGGGCGGGGGGGGGGTCTGCCTTGCAAGCTGCTGACCCAGGTTCAATTCCTGGCATCCTATATGGAGTAATTCCTGAGCACCACCCCAGTAATTCCGAAGTGCAGAGCCAGGACTAATCCCTGTGCATCACTGGGTATATCCAAAATTTTTAAGAGAGAGAGAGAGAGAGAGAGAGAGAGAGAGAGAGAGAGAGAGAGATTACAACTATCTGCTACTCCAACCAAGATATTTTGGATTAGAAAAATACCAGTTACAAAGGTAAACAATTATTAGTTCAACTATCATTAGAATGACACTCCTTTAAGAAGGCTGAAAAAGATGTATTTTGTTTATCTTCTACTCCCTGGAAATTTTTGAACTGGTAAATCTACTGTACTACCAGGGCACCAATCTTTTACTTCAAGGGCTGGGAGATCATTCCAAAAGCTAGAGTACATGCCAGGAAGGCGAAGACCCAGTTCAGTTTCTGGCACTCTTATGGTCCCTCAGCACCAGTACAGTGGCCCCACTGATCCCCAATACAGTTAGGCAGAAGCAGTCCTGGGCAAGGCGCAAATATCTCTGGGAATGGCTTTGGGTGCTGCTAGAGAGACTGCTTCCTACCCCACAAAAGACTGCAATTAGGAAACAATTAGGAAACAATGACCTAGCAGTCATTGGGATTGGTTAAGAAATAAAACATAAAAACAAGTATATCCAAACACTGAAACAGGATGCAGATACTCATTATTTGTCACTTTGCAGAAGTGCAGCTTTGAACTTTTTTACCTTGAGCTCCGGGGACAGGGGCAGCAGGGGAATGGAGGCTGTAGGAGAGAATCTGTGTCCTCATTTTACATAATACTAGACCAGAGGGGTAGTACAGTCGTACAGCACGTAAGGCGCTTGCCTGGCATATGGCCAACCTAAATTCAATCCCTGGCACTGCATAAGTTCCCCTGAGAAGGTGTGACCCCCAAAGCCAAAACAACAACAATAATAATAAATAATCAATGCCCTCATTTCTGGTGGAGAACTAGGTTTCAGAGAAGTTAAACACTGTATACAAGGTCACACAACTGCTCCTGAGCTGGAACCTGTGTTTTTGTGTTCCTGTTACACTATTCTCTATATCCAAACTTAACTGCCTCTGTAGTCACTGCACATTAAAGTTACAGACTCTTGAAATGAAAAGTGAATACACACAGCTACAAGTTTTTACTGACTTAAAAATCAAACTTCTAAATGCCGTACTATCCTTATATAATTTCAACAGCCTTTCCTATCTTACTAGTTAAAGCCTTAAGAGTTAAGCATAAAGCAAGTTAGTAACTACTGCATACCTATCATAAACAGCCAGGTGTTCCAGGTACAGGAAGCAAGACTGTTGATTTTAAGTTCTTAAGGAATAGTATTTGAAACATTTAACAGTTTTAAGTTGATACTATGGTGGGAGGAGATGCTCTGGAGAGAGTACAGAGGGTAGAGCACTTGCCTGGCATGTGGCCAACCCAGCTCAATTCTTGGCCAATCCTCCAAGGCCTGTCAGGCCCAGAAGCACCAACAGGGGTGGCTCCCAAAACACAATAAAACAAAACAAAAGAATTACACCATGGGCTAACAGATACAGATAAAGAAACTTTCATTTTCAAAAGCTTCAAAATATGTGAAAAGCAGCATCTTGCCTTTTAATAACAGGTACGTGCAGACATTTAATTTTCTCTTTAAAATAATCAGTTTTCCTAGTTGACTGAAAATTGGTCATTATTCAGTGACAATGAATGTCTACAGTGTTTTCTATACAGACATTCGTAACTCCTGGACACCAGCTGGCTGACTTGGGATGTCTTTTGTTCATTCAACATACATACATGAGTCTTTAAACTTGTGAGGTAAAGGATTAGGAGTTAACGATACCATGAGATATGGTTCCTATCCTATTGTAATTCTCAGTCAAGGCAGAGAGTAAGTTATTTAACCCACTATCTAGAAGAGCCAAAAAAAAGTACTACGGTTACATAAATCAGGGAATTGGCTATTAAATATTTGGAGGAGGGAAGGCACTGAAGCGAGAGCTTTGTTTAAGATGAGGAGGTCACTGGGGTAGGTGAGTGAGTTAGTATGTGAAAAGACAGTAAGATATGAAAAAGGAACAAAGATTTCGTGCAATGTAATGAGGACAATTAGGCAAGTTTTATAGGCTTTCTAAATACCTGACTAGAGTTCAATGTCGCGATCTACATTACTATGAAAATCATTGCTTTTCAAAACCACTACAGCCTTTACCGTAATTACTGTTGTTAAATAGTTTAGAATGTCACACAGCTCTCCACTGAAAAGACTTTATATGTAACTTTTAACACTGACAGACTTTGAATCAAGAGATTAAAAAAATCAAGTTCTCTGTCCAAGAGTACTATTTCCAGCTCCAGTTTATTCGCGAAATAACATTCCGACAATCTTTTACGTGGTCATAGGAAACTGCTTTGTCGGATTCTCTATGTGCTCTTACAGCTGCTTCCAAACATGGCTCTCATCTTCATCTAGCACTGCGAGTCCTTTGGGAGCTGCCAACTCCACCTCCGCCCGAGAACCGGGTCCCCTCAGACTCCCGCGTGAATCTGGGTTCGGGGAGCTACGCGCCCTCGCGCTCCCGCACGCCCCCAGCCCGTCAGACCGGGGCTCGCTCCCGCGCGCTCTCACGCCCCAGCCCGTCAGACCCCGGGCGCTCTCCCGCGCGCTCCCGCACGCCCCCAGCCCGTCGGACCCGGGGCTCGCGCTCCCGCGCGCTCTCACGCCCCAGCCAGTCAGGCCCCGGGCTCGCTCCCGCGCTCTCACACCCCAGCCCGTCAGGCCCCGCAGCGTGAGGAGAGGCGGGGCGGGGCGCGGGCCGCGGTTCCCGAGTGACCGGCGGAGAACGCCCACTGGGACTCCTGGGCAGACTCGGGGACGCAGCCCCATCCCCATCCCCCAGCCGAATCTCCAATCGGCGGCGACCCCCGGGAGAAGCGGTCAGTCCTCCGGTGCCTGCGGGAGCCTGGCCGGGGGCGCGAGGGGCTTAGGCCCGGCCAGGCGGCCCGCCCCCCCACGCCGGGACGGGCCGTACCTGTCCCTCAGCCCGTGCTGCAGGCGACCCAGCTTCTCGTAGTACTCGGGGCTCGCCAGGGGCGCGGACGGCACCGAGGCCGGGCCCATGCCGCCGCCGCCGCCGCCGCCGCGCGACGCCCGCCAGCTCCAGCTACCAGGACGCCCGGCGCCGGCGCCCTTCCCGCCATGCACCGCGGGTAAACACCGCGCGGTGGCCGCTCGGGGGCGGGGCCGCGCGGAGGCGGGGCAGAGCGGCGCGCCGCCAATGGGGAGGCCGGAATCCGGGCGGCCGCACTTGGGGCGGAGCTCCACGGAGGGGGCGTGCCCAGGGACGCGACTCCCGCCGGCTCCTAGCCTGCGGGTGCTGCCGCTCGCTCCCCGGGGAGTCTCCCGCAGTGCGACCGGCGAGCTGCCCCGCCCTCCGGGCTGAGTCGGACTCGGCCTCCAAATGCTTACTTTTATAAAGCAGACGCTGTCCACTCCTCCCGCCACCTCTCCTTTCTTTTTTTTCCCTGCAGTTTCCGTGTTTAGCTTATTTATCTACCCTCACTTAAAAGCAAAGCACCTCCTCAAAACAGACCGAACTTGAAATTAACTGAACTGTGCTCTGAGAGTTGAGAAATCCCTTGACATTCTCGCTGACTTAAGGATGTAGTTAACGCTGCAGGTCGCATTACTGGTTGGTGAATAAGGGAAAGTTGCAAACTAGTTTCTTCTGGAGCATTTATGCAAGCATAATTTGGTAGACACAAGCCCTGTTGAGTCCTTTAGCGGAGACTTCAGGGTGAAATTGCCTGAACTCAAATTCCCCTCTTCTCCCTGCTGTGTGATCTGCGAATCATCCCCTTGAAACCTAATGTTCTTCACTGATAAAAATAGAGACGCTATTATAGGGCACATATACACACATACACACACACTCACACACACACACACCACTGTTTGGTGGTGTGCACTTGGGGATGTGCAGTTGGTGTGGCACAAAGGATCCCAAGTGCCAGTCATATATGGATGTACCAGGCATGTGGAAGGTGGTGAGGATCAAACTCCAAAGTAAATGGTTGTTTTAATTCATTATTAAAAAGTGTAAAATCCCTTACCAAGCTAGGAGTAAACACACTTTCTTAATCTAGTTAGTAGTGGGCAACCATATGCACAATTAGTGAGTGCTGTATTCAGTGCCACATGTTGGGAGGTTTGTCCTTCCCCTGACTAACTTCACTCAACATGACACTCTTTAAATCCACCCTTATAATTCTACCATGAATCTTAAGGAAGATTCTTACTATGTAACTTCCTTCTTGATTTTGCTGCTTTCAATATTTTCTCTTTCCTTTGCTTTCATCATTTTGGTTATGATGTGTCTTAGCATAGTTTTATTTGGGTATCTTTTGGCTGGAACACTTTGGACCTCAAGAGTCTGGATGAACGCACTCACTAGAAACTTCTCTGCCAGGACTTCTTTAATTAATGATTCTTTATTGGGATTACTTTCCTACTCCTCAGGAATTTTGACAAGTCTTTTTTTCCTCTTGAAGTCATTCCATAGTCTCTCATTTGCTGTGCATTTATTTTGAGAACTTTCTATATCTTCTGTTATTTTCTAGAGGTTTTTTATATCTCATCTTGAAACTCACTGTTGTTATCCTCAGCTCTTAGTACTCTGTTGCCAAGGCTTTCCATTGAGTTTTTAGTTCACCTTCTGAACTTTTCAGTTGTGTCACTTCTGATTGTAGTTTTGTCATTTCTGGCCTCGTGCTTTTTGTGTGCTTACACCACTGTTTCTTTAAGCTCATTAAAAATCCTCCATGAGCGGCTCTCGGGCTCGGCCATGGCACCAGAGGCACATGGAACTAATCCGGAGCCCAGCAGCTTGTGGCAGAAATGTGAATGGACTATGCGTTAAACTCTGGTGCCATGCCCCCCCCCCCCAGAGGGTGTCTCTTCCGCCTTCCCCTCCACCCCCTCACACACACACACCCCCCCCCCCCGCCCACCCCACCCCACCTCGCCCCCTGACCACTGCCTCAGAGCTTATTGGAAAGCCAGGTATGAGCCAGCAGTGATGAGGCAATTGCAGCCGCAGCCTCATGGGAAGAGGGGAGGAACCGGCTCGTCCTTCACGCCCAACCAAGGCCATGAGTTGCCCCTCATGAGCGGCTCTCCGGCATGGCCATGGCACCAGACACACAGAAACCAATCTCATAATTATCTAGCTCTTGGCAGAAATCCCTCCAGACTTAATAAAGTATCAGAAATCCAAAATCACATGGCCACTATCACAGCAGTACGACATCACATGATTTTCATAACCAGCAATAGAAAACGAATTATTTCACAATGCCTTTTCAGCAGTTCTGATTGTTGGGGGGAAATTCCAAACAATAATGGTGCATCTTTTGTTGAAATAATGAATGTATTCAAAGTAGAGAGAGAGTTAAGTGGAAATCATCTGCCTCACAGGCATCGAGAGGGGTGGGAGGGGGGTGTATATTTGGGTTCTTGGTGATGACAAATAATTACTGGTGAGGGGAGGGGTGTTTGATCATTGTATGACTGAGACTTAAATCTGAACGCTTTGTAACTTGTCCCACGGTGATTCAATAAATAAATTAAAAAAAAAAAACTCAGCATGTTATCTCTAACTCCTTTCCTGAGAAGTTATAGAACAGGTTAGTTTTAGTACTATTGAATCTTCTGAACTACTATCTTCTCTCACTAGTAGTGTCAATGTTCTGTGCTCCTTTCCTACAATGTCTACTTGTCTGCTGCAGGATGGGATTGAGTCTTCTAATTCACCACTTGCTTACCCACTACCAGAGAGCTCTTTGGGGAGCCAGCTGAGTGTTGCTCTCTTCCTTCCCTATTGAAGCTATACCAACAAATCTTGTTGAGAGTTCCATTGTGAGAATTCCAGAATGAGTTTCAGTGTCATTGGCCCTGACTCTACTCTGGCTATTGTTTAGGATTCTGTGATTTCTTACATCCATGGTCACTTGTGCCTTTTTGTGGAAATAAATGATTGGAGTTAGAATTCACAGTCACAGTCACAGTTCTCCCGTTGTTCATGGATTTGCTCGAGCGGGCCCAGTAACGTCTCTATCATGAAACTTGTTGTTACTGTGTTTGGCATATCGAGTACATCACGGTGAGCTTGCCAGGCTCTGCCGTGCGGGCGAGATACTCTCGGTAGCTTGCCAGGCTCTCCGAGAGGGGCGAGGAATCGAACTCGGGTCGGCCATGTTGGCTGCGTGCAAGGCAAATACCGCTGTGCTATCAGTCCAGCCTGGAGTTAGAATTAAGTTAGCAAAATGTAATTGGGGACAGCCAAACCACTCCAGAGTGAGTTTCAGGACAAGAGTCCAATATATTCTTCGTGGGATATGAAGGAGGGAGACAATGAACTGCAGTATTAGCAACTGTGCTGTTTTTTGTTTGTTTTTACCTTCCTAAAATTTTTTAAATTAAAGAACTGTGATTTAAAAGTTATTGATAGTTGATTTGGGGGCTTATGATATTTTAACACCAATTCCACCACCAGTGTTCCCATATTCTCTCCCATCACTGCCCCATCCCTGCCTGACAACTTGACAGGCACATTACAAAGTTTCAGTGGTTCAGCCTAGGTTGTTCATGTTCTCAGTTGTTAAGTCTGTATTTTGGATATATGGCTATCCCACTCACCCATATCACCAGTTTAACTGACACTCTGATGCCTGTTCACCCAATTACAATTCTTTTCTTCTCTCCCGCTCCCTGTCCCCCAATTTCTGTTCTTCTCTATCCTTCTCCTCTCAGTACACTGGGGTCAAGCTGTTTTTAACCTGTGGGCATCACAAGATGGCAGGTCCTGATAATTGTCTTCATCTTTGTGGAGGTTGGGGAGTCTTTGTGCAGTATTCTCCCAGGCACTGAAAGAGACGCAGACCAGTGCAACTTCATGCTTTTAAGGCAGGCAATCTATCTGTCTATCTCCTGTCTCCCAATACCAGAGTTTTTTCTTTTTTTCCTTTTTTGGTGAAAGGAGAGAACAAAGGGGAGAACAAACCCAACAGTACTTAGGGCTTACTCTTGGTTCTATGCTCAGCGATCACTCCTGGCATTACTCAGAAAATCACATTTCACATGTAGTGCCAGAAATTGAACCCATCTCAGTCACTTGCAAGGCAAATGTCAACGTCTTAACCTGTTGTACTGTCTCTCCAATCCCTCAAGCACTGTTTTTTTTTTGTTTATTTGTTTTTTTGAGGGTTTTTTTGTATGTTTTGTTTGGGGGCCACACCCAGTGGTACTCAGGACTTATTCCTGGCTCTGTGCTTAGGGGTCAGTACTGTCAAACTCAGAAGACCATATGGGATGCCAGGGATTGAAGCTGGGTGAGCTGCATGCAAGGCAAGTACCCTACCCACAGTACTATTGCTCTGGCCTCAAGCACCAATTTTAAATCACCACCTCTTTCACTAACTTAGGGGGAGAGAAAGCTAGTTTCTCTCTCTCTCTCTCTCTCTCTCTCTCTCTCTCTCTCTCTCTCTTTGGTTTTGGGATCACACCCAGTGATATTCAGGGGTTTCACCTGACTGCACTGAGGAATTACCCTTGGAAGTACTTGGGGATCATATAGTATGCTGGGAATTGAACCTGGGTTGGATACATGCAAGGCAAATGCTCTTTCCACTGTACTATCTCTCTAGTCCCCAAAACTACAGTTTCTTTAGTCTCTTATTCTTCATGACTTTTGATTTGTTTTCTATCGTTAGTTTTGCTTAATTATGTACAAGGTGTGACTTAAATTACTAAATTGATCATCTGTAAGTCTCATGGATCACAAAGTAATAGAAAATTGTAAATTATTGTAGAAAAATAGTACAAACTTATGGGGTCCTACACCAGACTGTCTCATCCGGGGCAATCTGGAGGGTTGGGTGGGTCCTACCCCCCACCCCCCAAAAAAAGCTCCAGCTTCAGAAAACCTCCAGAACTCAATTGCTGCCATGCTCATGGCTGATCTCCACAGGTTTGGGTGAGCCTCATCTGTGAAAGAATCTGCTGAAAAACCCAGCTCTGTGGAACTTGTAACTGAAATCTCCAGGCTCACTAGGAGCCAGGAATGGGTGACCTTCCCATCTCTCTGCACTTCCAA